TTTTTATTTGCAGTTTCGACAGCACCATTCATCTTTGGCTGATAGGGGGATGAATTATGATGCTGAATCTTGAACTGCTCGCACAAGGCAGTGATCATAGTATTGTTAAAATCTGTACCATTGTCCGTGATGATCCTTTCTGGGATACCATACCGGCAAATAAGATTCTTCTTGATGAAGCGGGCAACAACATTCTTAGTAACGGAAGCGAAGGAAGCTGCTTTGACCCATTTTGTAAAGTAATCAATGGCCACTAGGATGAAACTGTGTCCATTGGAGGTTGTTGGCTTGATCTCCCCAATCATGTCGATTCGCCACATAGCAAAGGGCCAAGGAGCCGTCAAGACATTCAGAGGGACCGGAGGTACGTGCACCTTGTTCGCATAGATTTGACACTTATGAAGGGTCCGAGAGTGTTGATAGTAGTCTGCTTCCATGGTAGACCAATGATAGCCTGCCCGTAGGATTCTCTTCGCCATCGTATGCCCACTGGAGTGAGTGCCAAAAGTACCTTCATGTAATTTAGCCATGATCTTTTCAGCCTCAATTTTATCCATACATTGGAGCAGAATGGAGTCGTGATTGCGTTTGTATAGGATGCCATTACTCAAGAAGAACTTAGTAGAGAATCTCCTTAGGAACTTTTTATCATTGACTGAAGCTTCTTCTGGGTATTCTTGAGCCTCGAGATACCTCTTGACTTCATGAAACCAAGGATGGTCAACTACTTCTTCAGTATTAATCTTGTGACAATGTGTCGGTTCATCCATTCGTTCGATGGTGATCTGGGGAGCCTCGTTATCCCAATTAAGTTTAAACATAGATGACATTGTGCCTAGAGCATCTGCTAGCTGATTTTCTTCTCATGGGAAATGCTCGAAAGTAATCTGCTCAAAATGTGGTAACAATGTCAAAACATATTCTTTGTAAGGGATAAGATTTGGGTGCTTAGTGTCCCTGTGATACGGTGGCAGAACCGACTATTAATACTGGTTTACGTTTTTTGTTCATAAAATGTCACGGTAAGCAAGATTCGCCACCGACTTTTACTTTATCCAACTGGAAAGGAAAAAGTACAGAAAAATTCCTTTTTCGAGATTTTGAGTACGGGGGGTAGATTATAGAAAGGGAAGGTATTAGCACCCTTTCTATCCTTAGTTTTCTACGGGCTCTTAGGTACTTGCTCATCATTTTCAAAATCGCTTATGTGTTTGTGTGTTTGATTTGAAAAAGTTTTTTGTTTGACTTCGATTTAACCCTTGCTTCTGTCTTCAAGAGTGTTACGAAGTGTTTTTGAAAACTTTGTTTGAAAATAGTGTAAGTGTTGAAAAAGTTTGTTTGTATTGAGCAAGTACCTACTAGTATCTACCTACTCAAAAAAAGAATTGTTCTATGTTCATTTCCTTTAGACAGTGTTATCATACTATTAGTGAGTAGGTAGCACCACCGTTGGAGTTTGTAAGGGTCAATTTGAAAGGGACGTAATGGTCATTGAAGGCAACATGTAAGGATACCTTAGCATTTCGAAGGGACTGTTATCATATATTCATAGACAACATCGAGGGACAAGATCATATACCGTAGGCAACTTCGAGGGACATCGAGGGACCATTATCTTTATGATGATTATAATCGAGGGACTTTACTAAGGGTATCCCTATGTTCGAGGGACATGACCATTATTTTCCGAGGCAACCAAGTGAGGCATACTCTAAGAGTGAGCATGTGCATGTGTTTGATTTCAGTTATTTAATCTTTGCACAATTAAGGTGATCTACTATTTTAATTTTTCAGACAGTCTTTCCATACAATCCTATTAACATACATCTAAGCAGTTTATAGTTTGCGAAAATAAAATGCGGAAAGTTTAAATTCCTAGCTATTACAAGGCTTTTGCAGATACATAATTATTTTGGACTGAAAATAAAAATGCGGAATTTAAACTCTAATTACTATTACAACCTCGGAGCAGTTACATAATAATGAAGAGTGCAGAAAAGAAATCCTAAAACTATTACATCCCGGATGCAATTACATAATTAGAAAAAAATGCGAAAAAAGATAAATCTACGCTATTACATTGATAATGCGACCTATACAATTTTTCTAGAAATTAAAATGTAAAAGAATAAATAAAAAGAAATTAAGGAAAAATTAAAACTTAAAATTCTAAGTTAATGTTTTTGGTGTTTTTTTGTGAAAAAGTGATTTAGGATAATTAATTAAATAAACCTAAAAAAGCCTAATTAATTTTAATTAGTAAGAAATGTTAATTTTGAAAATAAGTTAATTAAAATACCTAAATCCTAATTAATTTTAATTAATAAAAAAAAGGGTAATTTTGAAAAAAGTTTAAAAAATATAAAATTAATTAACCTAAAAATTAAATTAGGTTTTTTTGTAAAAAAAAAGTTTGTGAAAAAAGTTTTGTGGTTAAGTGAATTTAAGATTGAAAAAGACAAATTGGTTAGAAACCAAAAACAAACAATGAAATTAAAAACCTAAAATTAAATTAAAACCTTAACTTAATTATTCGAGTTTAGGAGGAAAAATCAAAGGTTTGTGAAAAATGTTAAGTTTTATGAAGAAAAAAAGTTTTAAACAGAAAGAATGAGAATAGGTAAAAGGATAAATAGAAAGGAAGAAAACTAATACCAATAGGGGTGGTTATTGAACTCACGCCCTTAACCTTCTCAAGATGTCTGCCTCGTCATGCATTGGTTGGTTGTTCTATTTTGGCCATTAGTGTTTTGACATCAACGTTCTGTAATGAACCTGCATGGGACCCTGTCTAAATCTGCAGTGTTGAATCTCATGAACACATTAAATAAATTATTATATATCATGAAATACAAATAAAACAAATATATGAAAAAAATTTAAATTTAAAACCGATATGGTATGTATGAATGATTATACCCTTTTGATCATGGAGATCAAACCAGTCTTACCCTTAGTGGAGAAGTAGTGAGATGAATGCTTCTATGCTCTTTTGATCATGGAGATCAAACCAGCCTTATCCTTACTGGAGAAGTAGTGAGATGTGGATTTGTAACAAGGATGGCTTGTTTGTAGTGAGATGGGGGTTTGTAATAAGGATTTCAAGGTTTTAGGGTTCTCGAAAGAATTTGATATTCTGACAGCGTTGTGGCAAAAGCTTTTTTTTCTCTTTTTTCTTGTTTGTGTGAAAAGAATGAGATTATATAATAGAAATTAGAGAGAAAAAAATGGGCTTTGAATGTGCAATTGGGCCTCCAATGTTCACTTGAGTCCATCACGTTCTAGGCAAAATCACAGGGGCTTAAGTGCAATTTTTGAAGTTGAGATGTGAAAACAAAATGTAGCCGACAACTAGAACTAACTCATGTCCAAAAATGGGCTCAATCAGATAAACGATGAATTAGTTATGAATTTTTGAAGTTTCAGCTCAGACAAACTTATTTTGGGCTCCAGTGTCGACTCTGACACGTTCTTCAATAAAAAAATGGTATTGATCGGAGCATAATCCGGTCTCGACTTTTGAAGAAAAGTTGTAGATCTCTGAGTCAGTGACCTTGTGTAAAAAGATGGGCCCGATCCGATAAAAATTGACCGAGTTATGAATTTTCGAAGTTTCGACCCAGATGAAATAATATTAAGCATTCAGGATTTTCGGCGCGTCACGCGCACTCTGAGCACAAAACGAAGGTCTTTTGAATACTGTTCGATCTTGATACCTCCTGTGAAAATGTAGTCAACTCAATTTTTGAAATTTTGGTGCTGGAACCATCTCGATACGATATAAATCAACCAAGTTATGATTTTCTGAACATGACGCAAATAAATTTTTGTCACAAATTTTCTGTATGAAAATACTTGATAAATCCGCATTTTTGAAGATCTTCTGATCGAAATTGGCTTCCAGCCGTGAGAGATGAAAAAATAGATGACATCATTACGGAATTTTGGCCACCGGAACAAGTTCAAAACGAGTCACGATCTTCAAGTTATGAATTTTTTAGCGCATAAAAACTGCACTTTGAGCACACTTTTTCACCACACACTACTAAAAAAAAGACATTTGAGAAAAGGTTTTTATATCGGGTATCAAAATATATGATGTAAAAAATACAATTAACAAACTTTTTACATCAGGTATTTATTTGCAATGATATAAAAAATATGAAAAAAATATATTTCGCTACCTATTACATCGGGAAAACGCATCCACCGATGTAAAAAGTTTTCAAAAAAAATACGGTGGCATTTTTGTAAATAAGAAACAAGGTAGTAGAAATATTAATAAAAAACATGCAACATATTACATCAGTTGACTAAAAACCGATGTAATATCTTCACAACAGATATTAATATAAAAAATAAATTAAAGAATAAATTAATTTTTTCGCAACTTATTACATCGGTGGAAGTTTAAACCGATGTAAAAAAGTCAGAAAAAAAGCTTGCATCGGGTATTGCATAACCGATGTAACAGGTGCAAAACCCTTACATCGGTTGTAAGGATCCACCGATGTAATAGGTTGTCCACTAAACCAACCCTTACATCGGTTATGCATTTCCACCGAGGTAATAGCTTCCAAACCCTTATTTTCCCAAATTTCATTATTGTAACGTAAATTGGAATGAAATACCAACAATTCATGTTAGACATTGTATCACATTAATTAATAATTAAAATAACCAAATGAACATGGAATATAAAGAAATTTGTATCACATTAATTAATAATTAAAATAACCAAATGAACATGGAATATAAAGAAATTGGGTACCTGTGAAACAAAACCAAACGAATAGTCCTTTTCTATGTCTTCAATTCTTTGGACCAATGTTAGGCCAACACGTGGTGATGGAAAGAAAAATAAAAATAAAAATAATACTACCTGATATAACACCGAACAGGGATAAGGTTTCACCATCTCTTTCACTTCCTCTACTCCCTTTTCTTTGTCTCCATTTTCTTTTCAAAAAAAATCAAAGAAAAAAAACAAAACTTTCAACATGATACCGACAAAAAGCAATTACTGGAACGAAACTTGGATGGTGATGGATGTCAACAGATTTCCGGTGATTCATAGTTGGACGATGCTGGCCGATGGAAGGGCTTATGAGGTCGCGATTGGCGTCGCGTTGTTGCAGCGGGGATGCAAATCGGAGGGAGGCGGATCTGGTGGGTATGTGCGACCGGGTGAGCTCACGGCTGGGCTGACCACGGCGAGCTGGGTCGTCGTTGGAGGGAGCTTCACGGTGGAGGGATTTGAGCAGTAGCTTGGTGGATTCGTTGCAAGGCTGGGTGGAGATAGTTGTTTTCGTTGAAATCTCGCGGCGGGATATACACTGAGAGAGGAAGATCTCAGAGTTGTGTTGCGGGTGGTTTGAGGTGGCTGTTGTTTCTACTGGTTACCTATCTTACCACTAAACTACACGAAGGAAACGTCTCTGCTGCGAGAAATGTTGGTGTCTGGCAAGGAACTTGTTATCTTACACCTCTCATTGGAGTTGTTCTTGCTGATAGTTACTGGGGAAGATACTGGACAATTGCTGTTTTCTCTATGATTTATTTCCTTGTAATGAACTTAAAATACATATCTTTTCCTAGTCATAAATAATTGTCTCTAGGCTTTTTATTATGTGATACTGATATGGTTGTATCTTGTAGGGGATGTCCATCTTGACTATTTCTGCATCTGTTCCATCATTGAAGCCAGTCGAGTGTGTAGATTCGGTGTGCCCTCCTGCTAGTCCTTTGCAATATTATTTATTCTACTTTGGTCTCTATTTAGTTGCACTTGGGACCGGTGGTGTAAAATCATGTGTGTCGCCTTTTGGGGCAGATCAGTTTGATGAAACTGATTTTGTGGGAAGTATCAAGAAGGCTTCCTTTTTCAACTGGTATTACTTTTCCATCATGATAGGCGCCATTGTGTCATGCACCTTCATTGTGTGGGTTCAAGATAATTTAGGATGGGGTCTTGGATTTGGCATTCCGGCTTTATTCATGGGGTTAACCGTTGGAAGTTTCTTTTTAGGTACCTCTCTATACAGGTTTCAAAAACCAAAGGGTAGTCCTCTTACAAGTATGTTCCAGGTTTTGTTAGCATCTGTCCGAAAGCGGATTTGGTTGTGCCGGAGGATAGTAGTCTCATGTATGAGACGCCTGACAAGCAATCAGGAGTTGAAGGAAGTCGCAAACTGATGCATCATGATGATCTGAGGTAACATTTTCTTGTTGAATATGTTACTGCACGTATAAATTGTCTGCAAAATTATGAAGTTTTGACATTTTTAATGTTTTTATGTAATTACTAATACTAATAGTACTAATAATATTGTTGTTAATAATGACTGAAGGATGTACCTTATAAAACTTTATTTTTTTGTGTGTTTAAATAAAGGTATTTTGATAGAGCAGCTGTAGTGTCTGACTCAGAGAATAGAAGCGGTGAATATTCTAATCCATGGAGGCTTTGCACCGTGACACAAGTGGAAGAATTGAAAATCTTGATTCGCATGCTTCCAATCTGGGCTACTGGCATAATATTTTCTGCTGTCTACGCCCAGATGTCAACATTGTTTGTGGAGCAAGGAACTATGATGAACACATATATTGGTTCCTTCAAATTATTGTATCAGAGAGTTATTAGTAAAAACTGATGTAAAAACTTTCAAATAGGGACTTTTTACATCGGTTGGGATAATAACCGATGTAAAAAGTCGTGTCACTGGGGACTTTTTACATCGGGTATTACTTCCAACCGATGTAAAAAACTAGATCAATTTTTTTAAAAAATGTGCATAATAACTGTTTCTTACATCGGTTCATATATTATAACCGATGTAAAAAAGGGACTTTTTACATCGGGTATTACTTCCAACCGATGTAAAAAACTGGATCAATTTTAAAAAAAAAAAAGCATAATAACAATTTATTACATCGGTTCTTATATTATAACCGATGTAAAAAAGGGACTTTTTACATCGGTCCCAGAACCGATGTAAAAAGTCCCTAATTTACTATATCGTCTGACTTTACATCGGACCCAGAACCTATGTAAAAAGTCAGTTTCACCCGATGTAAAAAGTCATTTCTGCACTAGTGACATTTCTTCGAGAAAACTCACACATTCAGATACCTTATTTAAAGAATTGACTCTTGAGCCAAACCTGAATTTGAGAATATGTTATGAGAGATATCTTGGCGAAAGAACACCTGAATATGATGCGCCGGGTTGGACTTGTGAATCTTTGAACCCCGAATCATTGTAAAACGGCGAACCGGTCTTCAGCATAAAAAATACTCTGAGAACATCCATTGGCGAAATAAACGTCACTTATATACCTTTATTCCATAACCATAAAACCAATAATATACGTGTATGAAAAGAGGACAAATTTTGGGGTACAACAGCTGCCCATGTTCAATCTTCTTAAACCTGAGGATGTAGATTGGTTGTCTGCCTTTCGTAATCTGAAGGTGGAAGATGATTGAACACTAGAGTGCCCAGAAATTTGCACTCGTATAAAGTGGTACTTGTCTTGTGATGTCAGGAATGGGCTTATAGATGCCATTTGGAGATTGATGATGGAGGATAGGCTTAAGGTTGCCATCCGAAGGAGTATCGATCGCATAAGAGATTCCTTTGCGAGAGTTTGTATACCTGTTATCGAGGAGGACTTCGCTGGGGAACGCTGGTCTCTGTCTTGGTAAAAGTTGAATTTTAGGAGCTTCGGTCGTCCGTTATTCTACTGGGGAATTGTCTCTTGGTCGAAGAGGTGAAAATGAACTACTATCTGGTCGTTATCGAGGCTTCATAGTGATAAGTCGACTGCTATCTGGTCGTGCTCCAGGCTTTACAGTGACTTACTGGGGAGATGAGATTAAACTTGCTATCTGGTCGTAATTCAGGCTTTACAATTTCTTAATTCTTATCTGGTCGTACTCCAGGCTTCAGAAGGAATTAAGTTGTTATCCGGTTGCATCCAGGCTTCAACTTGAATTTAGGGCACACTAATATCCGGTCGACTCCGGGCTTCTTAGTAATTGTCCAGGTAAACTGCTATTTGGTCAAAATCCAAGCTTCACAGTGTTTTGTACTGTTATTTGGTCGTAATCCCGGGCTTCAGTTTCTTTTATCGCTATCTGGTCGTAATCCAGGCTTCATGATGTCTTATACCATTATCTGGTCAAATACAGGCTTCATGGTGTCCTATACTGCTATCTGGTCTATTCCAGGCTTCACAATACCTTACTTCTTATCTGGTCGTATTCCAGGCTTCAGAAGAAATCAAGTGGTTATTCAGTCGCATCCAGGCTTCCATTTGACTTTAAGGCCTACTAATATCCGGTTGATTTCTAGGCTTCATAGTAATTGGCCGGGTAAACTGCTATTTGGTCGAAATCCAAGCTTCACAGTGTCCCTTACTGTTATCTGGTCGTAATATAGGCTTCAGTGTCTTTTACCGCTATCTGGTCGTAATCCAGGCTTCACGATGTCTCATACCATTATCTGGTCGAATCCAGGCTTCATGGTGTTCGGAGAAATCAAGATACTATTCGGTCGAACCCGGGCTTCATAACTTGTATTAAAGATATACCACTATCTGGTCGACTCCAGGCTTCGTAGTATTCTTGGCTGCTATCTGGTCATAATCCAGGGTTCACAGAAACTTGTATTTCTATCTGGTCGTAATCCAAGCTTCACAATAATTTGCTGAGCTGTTATCCGGTCGAATCCGAGCTTCACGGCTTGTGTTTATGATATGCCACTATCTGGTCGAATCCAGGCTTCATGGCATCTCTTACTGCTATCTGGTTGTAATCCAGGCTTCACAGTAACTTGCTGGGGATTAAACTATTATCCAGTCGAATCCGGGCTTTATAGCTTGTTTAAGAGATACCACTATCTGGTCAATTCCAGGCTTCGCAGTATCCTGATATTGTTATCCGATCGATCTCCGGGCTTCGCAATATGATAGAGAAATCAAGATATTATCCAGTCGGATCTGGGCTTCATAGCTTGAATTGGAATAGAAATCTCAACATCGGTTTGACAGAACCAGAGAAACTTGTGAGAATTTGATTGTATCTTTCCCTGAAAAGTAAAGAGTTAGTCATATGTAATGTCATGATGTATGACATGTATCAAGTAATGATGCTCTCAAAATAAATGAGATTGTGTTGTATGATGCGTATGCACACGTCATGATGTATGGGTATGCCATGTTTTTATGATATTCTCTAACTGGGGAAAATAAATCCTGGACTGTTGTTGGAGAATATAAAGAGCTGAATTCTTCATTCCCGCTGGGGACGGTGGGAGAATAACTCTGCTGGAGAATAAAATGGTGAGAGAATAACTCTGCGGGGAAGAGATACCCTGTCAGAAGGTCTGCTGATTTGGAGAAATAAACTCAGCTAGGGATGAACTTCTATTGCTGGTGATAAACAAGCTCTGCTTGGGGAGAATTTTGCAGACTCACTTGCGATTGTGAACCTCGGCTGGGGAGAGTTGTGTCCTGCTCGGGAAAGCTAACACCATTGTCTTTGGATACTTCTTACTCTGCGGGGAGTGTATGTTACTGGGACGCATGCTGAGGATATGACAATGACTTTGTATCAAGACTTTTCTTCCCCTGTACCTGCTGGAGAAGGTGCATACGAAAGCCTTGTGGATTGAGTGTCATCCCAACTTATGAGGTGCTTGGTAACTGCCGATCAGCATGATAAGTCTTCTACTGATAGGCAAGTGACAAGATAACGGGACATAGTCGTATGCTTTAATCCCTAACTTTTTCCTGGACTGTCTTTTCAGATTTTTAGTCCACCGGGATACCCTTTTTTGCCTAAGCCGCCCTTTCGGGTTTTCCACTTGCCGGGTGTACAGATTTTTCATTTTTTATCCCTGATTTTTGCCCGAACCCTTTTGGTTCGTCGGGATGGCCTTATTTTTTCCTAGGCCATTCAACCTAGCGGGTCTTTGTTCATGCGTAGTATTTTCTGACTATGTCCACGCTCTCAGGGTGTAGGGAGTTGTCACTGTCGGTAGTGTTGTGTTGCCACACTACCAGAAGATGTTTGTTTTATCATACAGGATTCGTTATCGGAATTCATGTCAAATGCCCCAAGTGATTCAGATGGAGATCTGCCCCTGGCTATTTGGCATCCTTGAGAGATTCCTTGAATATTGACTTGACTGCCCCAGATGATGGACGATGATCATGTCGTGCCCCTTGGTTGGAAGCGTTTTTCCACTTGAGGTGATCACTTTCGTTGGAGAAGGTTTTTGTTCACTAGATATTCGTCATGCGAATTTCTCTGATGTTGAACAAATAGTGATATGCAAAAGATGTTATTTTAAGAATGCAAAGCTTACGTCTGTCTTGAAGTTTTGAAAATGCAGTTTTTTTTATAGAAAAAATAGAATTTTGCAAAGATGTGATATCAACTCAAGATTTGTAACGGACCTTCAGGAGTCAGGATACCTTTTGTAACAATATGCTTTCGAACTAACCCATGCTTCAGCTAGGACTTTTAAGGGTTATAACGTGGCCTGGTTCACGGTTTAAGAAACAAAGGATGAAGGCTAAACTTTTATTTGTACCTACCCGTTCTTCGTGATGTTCTTCGATCCTAAACTCGGCTAATTATCCATTTAGGTCTCATTTGAGTCTTTGCTCTGATATTCTACTGATGGTTTGGATACTGACAATTTATTTTGAATAGGCAGTCATTTCTTTTTTGTTGAGGGTTCGTAGGACCTCTTTCTTTTTTATTTTATTATCCCTGTCTTTTTCCTGAACTATTTCTTTTTGTGATTACAGTCAGCAGGATGCCCCATTGTTTTTTCTTAAGTCTCCTTCATAGGTTTTGACTTAATGGGCTTTTATTTTGAGAGATAATGACTGCCTGTCTTGACGATTATAGGGAACCATCATCGTCTTTTGTTTTGGAAGGACTTCTTTGATGCCATTCATTATGTATGAAGTGGAATATTACGACTGAATGCACATCTAAATTAACTGAGAAACTACCCTGCCCCAGGTTATGATTAAGGGTTTTAATTTGTGTGAAATGAAAACTCCTACTCCTTTGGCTCAAAGGGGTTGACTAGGGATTATCTTCCATATAACTCCACTATTTAGGATTTGAAACAACGCATGTACATCGTCAACGGGGTCTGTTCAAAAGCCATTGTAGAGATTGTGGTATCATTTTTCGTCATCCTCCCTCTAAGGCTTAGAGTTTTTAGTCGAGATTTGAATATCACAAAAGGAAATAAGAATGCATTTTTGAAATAGTGAATACGAATGAATTGATTCAAGACAAACATATGTAATGCATTGATAAAGTAACAGAGTTTGACATGAATATATGTTCGAACAATAAAAAGAAAATTGAAAATTGAAAATTTTAATGAACAAAAGCCTCTCTTGTCAGAACTTGCCACTTCAAATGGTGAGCCTTGGAGGATTGATAGAAACATTCTAGTTGACCATCTTGTGTGAATTCCAATGCTCCTTCATCAATAAGGTCTTGAATTTTGTATTTCAACCTCCAACAATCGTCAGTGTCATGCCCCGGACTGTTGGAGTGATATGCACACCTTGCATCAGGGTTGTAGTTAGGCGAAAAAGTCTTGGGATTCATATGAAGT